TTTCTCTTACATTCTTGTTTCTTGTAGGAATGGTTTGTGAGAACATGATGTCTACAATATTTTATTTTATATTTTGATGCAGGATAAAGCAATTGGAATATCCAGAGAAAGATGTCCACACTGACACACTATTACAGTAAAGACAGCGGATGAGAAAAGTCGATATAAAAAAATTAATAAACATCTATTACAATAACTATGAATCCAAAACTTGCTAAATTACTTTCAAAATCCGATTTTGAGAATTATATTAAGTCTCTTTTAGGATTGAGTATCACAAGGAATGCCATCTTACCAGTTGTTTTTGATAGAATAAAGGAATTCCAAGAGAAATGTTTGGCAGCTATTTGTGAGAAAAACAATTTACCTCCGGGTACCATATGTACAAAATGTCCTACGAAAAAAATTATTGCCAGTTCTCTTTCAGACAATAGTGATAATGAGAGTGGCTGCCAATATAAAATTTGTAATCTCTTCAAAAATGAAATTGAAGAAAACCATCGCTATGATAAACCTTCATACTTAAATAGTGACGCAAAATTGTGGTGCAGCAATCCGTGGGAACTTGCTAAGTGTTTTATGCCACGAGATGGATATAGACATATCACATGCAAAGAGGAAACTGACTTCAATGGAGTAATAAATGTTGTCATCAACCATAAAATGTTTCCGAATGATGAAATCTTTCAACAGGTTACTATTCTTATTTAATATTTAATGTTGTAAACGTATGAAAATGGAGATTTATAGACTACTATGTTTAACTACTTTTTGTGACTTCTAGAAGTAAAGATAAAAATAAAAAAAGATTGTATGTTAAAAACACATATTTTTATAAGTCACGACAATTGTTCGATAGTGTTTAATTTGCAAAAATAAAGTTTGGCTACTTTTGGGCTGTAAGGTTATTAATTTCATTATTGTTTAATGATAAAATATATTCAGAGTCATTTGGGTGGCCTACAGTTTGCGTTTGTCCCTACAAAAAGGAAAAAAGAAATGGGAAAATGGAAATTTCAATGCTGTAAACATAAACTGTTGTATGACCGGATCATCATATGATTCTTTTGTTTAAATTTCAGGTCAGAGAAATTTCAAGAAAAATTCGGCATAATCCTAACTTACAAATAAGTAATGAGGATTTTCAAAAGAACCTTGAAATTCTTAACAATATACTGGCTCACAGAGAATTCTTTGATAGAGCCAAAGATGGAAGAGAGGACCTAGAACAGGTATGATTAATGATAAGGCATTCAGAATAATTTTTGGTACCTGAAAATTTATTGTTTGTCGTAAAGACATTCTCATACCCCAACTGTAGCAGGGTATGGGGATTGGTGTTGTTTATTTAGATTACCATTATCCGTTCATGTTTAGGTGTAAACAACTTAAAAAAAACGTTGATTATGCATATTAGGTTTTACTTCTGGATTAATTTTGAGTTATTGCTAAAATTTTCAATTTGTGGCGCGCATAGCTTAAAAAGAGTCCGACGTAGAGTCATGAAACTTTACAGGAGTGTTGGTGAGCATATGAAATTCGGGTGTGCTTGTGCATTTCCTTTTTCAGTATTAAGAATTTTATGGAATTATTGCCCGGAACTTTGTAATTTTTTACATGTGTCACGAACAGACAATAAGGAATTTGACCTTAAAGACATACACTTTTACAGAAACGTTAGTCAGCATCTGTAGTTGTGCACCTGTGGTTTTGCAGGCATATTAATTCAGAATTTGGAAATGAGTAATTGTCCTTGACTTACATCTGACGGACCAAGTGAGAGACTCTATGATGGAAAGTTCTTAAAGCCTTTTGGGACTGAATTGTCTTAATGTTCGTCTTCTGCCTTGCTTCGTCGGGCCCTTGTATGTGATTTTCTTGTTGCTTTGTCTTCCTTTAAGACATTGAGTAATTTTGTTATGGTCATTGGTTTTACTTTTTATATGTTTCTACATGATCATTTTGGTGTTTTTTTAACCTTTTGTAACCATAACATATGTTAGAATTCACTTGGCGGGTATTTTAATTACACTCTCTCGTGTATAAGAACATGGTGGGGCTACGAGCGAGATTTGGTGCACCATTAACCGGTTTAAACTCCCAGGCAGTCGTTATTATGCTGCTGACCGTTCCAAGACGGCGCCCCTCTGTGTTCCTCAGATGTATGGCTATGTTGTTTCATACTGTTTTGGTGACACTTTTGCTTGTGTCCCTTGTTGTTTTCTCGTCTACGGTAAGTATCTTTCCCATATACCCCTAGTTTTTATTTCTTTGATAAACCCCTTCCCCTGTGCCCTTTTACTTTGTGAGCCTATTATTCAATCATTTATTTGTTTTCTTTGAATTCCTAATCAGTTACAAATTATTTATCATTTAGTGAATAACCTGTCCGTGCACTTTCCTGTGCCCTGTCCTGTTTTGTTTGGGGTCCGCCTGGGCTCGTGCACTGGTTCTTGTTGCTGGGTTGTATGGGGGTTGCGTTCATTGAACGCCGCCTTTCCTTGTTAATCTTGTTTATCATGTTTTAGTAAAAATCGTTCCAAAATGTTGTGTCACGTGTACTTCTTAAAGTCTTTAAGCTTGAGTCAGCAAATTTTACAGAAATCATGATCAGCATTTGAACCTGGAGTTTTGCTGTGGATTTATTCAGTTTTGTTAGTAATTACCATTGGCATAGTAAACATTTGCATTTTTGAACTTGTGTCGCACGTGGCTCAAAAAGTGTTTAACCTGGAGTCATTGAACTTTACAGGTATGTTTAGGTTAGCATGTGAAATTATTAACCTGGGGTTTGCTTGTAGATTTATTCAATATTTGATTCAATTCTTGCCATGGCATAGTTAAAAAATTGCAATTCCCAACCTGTGTCTAAAGTAACTCAAAAAGACTTTAAATCAATTTGCTGATACAATTCTTATACGCCCGAACAATCATTGGGACGTATAATGGAATGGTGCTTTACGCTGGTCGTGACATATAAGAGTGGCATGACCAAATACAGGTTAAGTTCGATTTTCTTTGCTATCAACTTATCTTTGATACAGTTATGCTCCTTTTTCATCAAATTTGCAGTAAAATAATTTATTTCTGCAGGATGACTTTTGAAGCATTCAATATCTTTTTTAATATTATGCATTTAACAATATTATATCAAAGTTGAATTCCATTTTCACTGCAATAAAATAATTTTGATAACGATACGCCCCAATTTAAGCAGCGATTTTTTTCTTTCTTTTTGTTTTTTGTAAGTTCATGTGTCTTTTTTTGCTAATATGTATATTTTCTTCTTTCACAATGAATGGCAAAATTATCATCTGTGCCATTTCAAACGATAAATTTGCATCTTAAAATCATAATTTTTTCATGATACTTTCCTTAGAATTTGTCATCGGGTGTATATTGGCTCAAAGGAGTTCTTGTTAAGAACTTTATTGTTGTAAGGAAAACATTGATGCCAATTTTAGTGCACGTATTTGTTACTGTATATCTTTCAGCTCAGAGTGATAAGTCTGATACAATGTGAAGAAAAGTATACTGACATAGACCCAGCAGATAAACTAAAAACCGAGCTAAACAGCCATTTTAGGCCTGAAGATGTAACTATGGTGTTACAGATTCTCAAAGAAGTGCTACAAAAAATGCAAGGTAAGCCAATTATCGGATGGAAACTATATTTTAATCTAAAAAGAAACATATAAAAGGTAAATGAATAATCAATTCAAACAGTTCATTGCAATATTAAAAAAAATTGCACACAACAAAACAAAACTTCATTGAAAAAACTTGTAAAAAATATACCTAAAAACATCGACTAAAATCGTTGTATTAAACTTTATATCAGTGTTGCAAAAGACAACAAATGAAGTCGGAGGTGCAGTTACATATTGAAAACATTGATTGATTTGGCGATTTACAACTTTTATTAGCTCATCGGTCTTCTTCTTTCTTTTTTGCCATTTTTTTCTTTACACAACATCCCCGAATCAATAAACTTATTTTGAAATAAACCATAAATGATCTCGTATCTTTTGCTTTTACAAAAATAGCGGTAAAATCGTTTCGGTCTATATTATACAGGACGTGAAAGCCTTAAAAAATGTTTGTTTTATACTTATGCACAGGCTTATTTTACAAAACAAAAATTTAAAAAAAAATAACTTTAATTTCAAACAAAAATCAGAACGGTACGTTCTGGACGAAGTCTGAGGAAAATAAGATAAGAACTATGTGAGTGTATTTTTTTTATTTTTATTTTTATTTGGTTATTTTTGATTGTTGTTTTTCAATTCAACACCCAGTCAATGGTAACTGCAATTATGTTTAATAAATTTGTTGTGTAAAAAGCTATACCTAATGAAATATTTTCATAAGATTGATAAACGGTAAGATAAGGTTGTTTCCGTAATCTAATGGTCAATTCCTACAACAATTTGTAAAAGAATATCACTGCCATCTAACGTGAACAAAATATCATGTTACCATTTTAAGTAGGGTTGCAACAGCTTTTTAAGCATCATTCACTCTTTAAGAAATATGCACAAACTTATTTTATTTTTAGGTATTTGAAATAACTCTTTTCACAAAATTCAGACAAACTTTTAGTAAACAACAGAAGGTCACATGATCTAGAAAGCTATGAATGCAAACACAATAATTATTGATAATGAATTCCAAAGAAGATTATGTACATAAATCAACATAAATCTTAAAAAATTGGCACATAGGATAAAACAATAAAACATTATCAAACAGATTTCAGAACATGATGTTATCCATTTATCGGTATAAAATAAAAACCCATTAACAACTTATACATTGCGTCGTTGTTTTATTGTTATTTTTGTCTGTTACAGATTTTTTCAAACAAAAATATTCCTAATCGATAATCGACAACCCCTTTTTATATGCCGGAAAGAATTTCGGGTTTATTATGTGATACCCCCTCGCGTCCGTCCGTCTGTCTGTTTGTCCGTACGTTAGCAATTTGGTTTCCGGAGCAGAAATTAAGTTCTATTTGGCCAACAATATTCAAACTTCATAGAATGATTTTCCATATTTGGAAGAAGACCCCTATTGATTTTGGGGTTACATGGTCAAGGATCAAGGTCACAATTACCTTAAAACTGAGAACAGTTTCCGGAACATAACTAAAGTTCCATTTGACCCATAATGTTCAAAATTCATAGAATAATTGTCCATATTAGGGAGAAGACCCATATTGATTTTTGGGTCACAATGTCAAAGGCCAAGGTCACTATTACCTTAAAACTAAAAACAGTTTCCAGAGAATAACTTCCATTTAGTCCACAATATTCAAACTTCAAAGGATTATTGTTCATATTTGGAAGAAGATTTGGGGTCACAATGTCAAAGTCAAGATCACAATTCTCTTAAAACTAGAAACAGTTTCCGCTCAATAACTTAAGTATTAATCAACCTACGGCTGTAAAATTTTATAGGATGAACAGCCAAGTCCAATACATGACCCCTTCTGATTTTAGGGTCATAATGTCAGAGGTCAGGGTCACAATGATTTTTACACTAAAAATTGTAGTTTCTGGAGCATAACTTACGTTTCATATGACCTACACTATTCAAACTTCATAGGATGATTATCCATATTGGTTAGAAGACCCCTATTGATTTTAAGGTCACAAAGTCAAGGTCATTAGATCTATTACCTTAAAACTGAAAACAGTTTCAAGAGCATAACTTAAGTTCCATTTGGTTCACAATATTCAAACTTCAAAGGATTATTGTCCATATTGGGAAGAAGACCCTTATTGATTTTGGGGTCACAATGTCAAAGGTCAAAGTCACAATTTTCTTAAAACTAAAAACAGTTTCCGCTCAATAACTTAAGTATATTCATCAACCTACAGCTGTAAACAACTGATTTAAATGTCATAAGGTCAACTGTCACGGTCAATATAATCTTTACACTGAAAGTTGTGGTTTCTAGAGCAGCATATCTTAAGTTCCATTTGGCCCACAGTGTTCAAACTTCATAGGATGAGTGTCAATATTGAGTAGAAGACTCCTATTAGTTTTGGGTCCGAAGGTCAAAGGTCAAGGTCACTATTACCTTAAAAAGGTTCTTCAGCTATAAAGGAGGATTGCTTTTTGAAGGAGGTAATACTTTAATTAATTCCCATGTCTTACAAATGCTTCGTCCCTTACTAAAAAAACCCTTTCGGGCATACCGTATAATGCTCTGCCTAGCAGTGCTCTTGTTAATGAAGTTGTTTAAAACATTATTACGAAAGAATAGATAAAAATTGATTTTTGGAATGAATATCTCAAGCACAAATCTGGTTTAGTTTGGAGGCACAACCAGTTTAAGCTAATCTGAGCTCAGCGTTCATATTGTGAGCTATTGTGTTTCCTCTGTCCGTAGTCTATTGTTCGTTATAAACAATTTTTCAAACAACATGTCATCTGAGATCAATGACTTGATATTACCTTTGGGTTAAATTTTTTTCTACGCAAAATATGAGACTAGGTTATTCTTATTTGTATGACGCAAAACTTCAAAAAATGATCTCCATCTATAAATGCCCAAAGGCCAGATCTAAGATATTTGGCATGAAACATCATCTTATATATTTCTAAACAGCTGTTTCAAAATTTGGTCCTTGGCTCCTAGCTTACCCTACCTTAGTTTGCAGGAGTCACGGGTCTACCTAATGTATATAGTAAAATTTTGAAAAATCTACCGAAACACCAAGGGTTAGAGCTTGGATATTTGTCATGAACAAATTATCATATTGATCTCTATCAAGATATTGTGGCCCTTTAAGTCAAAAGTTGCAGTACCACGGGGTCCGTATTGCTCACGCCTCAACCACTGGGAAAGCATAACCCCCCCCCCCCTCCAAAAAAAAAACAAACAACAACTTAAATTTGGTGATTTATTTCTTACATGTGTATCTTCTACAGGAAATTACTTTTTTTTAGCTCAACTGGCCACGAGGTGGTCAAGGTGAGGTATAGTGGTGGGGCTATGTCCGGCGTCCGTCGTCGTTCATCGTTCGTCGTCAACAATTGAGCAGTCACAGTTTTGACTGGATCACCATCAAACTTTGTCAGAATGTTTGTCTCAATATAAATACAGATCGAGTTTGATCATGGGTTATATCGGGTGATTTGTTTTGTTTGTTTGTTTGTTTCATTTAACGCCTTTTTCCAACAGTATTTCAGTCATATAGGCGGGTAGTTTCCTAACCATTGTTCCTGGAGAGTTACACCAGTACTAGACTACCATCCTCCGCGCTTAACTACCAAAGCATCTCCCGGAGATCGAACCCACGCCAGAGAGGTAACTGGATTAGAAGTCATCGACTCTAACCCCTCGACCATGGAGGCGGTAAATATCGGGTGAAAAAAGTTTTGATGATCTCTAGGTCAAGTTCGAAGATGAGTCATCTCCAGTCATCTCCAGTCAAAAACTAGGTCACAGAAAAAGCTTGTTAACACTCTAGTGGCAGTTTTGATCAAAGTATCCTGGAATTTTGTCAAGAAGGTTGTTTTGATGAATTTTAGGTAAAGTTCTAAAATGGGTCATCTCCGGTTAAAAACTAGAACACAGGAGCCAAAAATCGAAAAAGTTTGTTAACACTCCAGTGGCTGCAGTTTTTATTCAAATATTCTTGAAATTTGTCAGGAAGGTTGATTTGATGATTATTCGGTCAAGTTCTAAAATGGGTTATCTCCTTCAAAAACTAGAACACAGGAGCTAAGAATTTAAAATACACTCTAGTGGTAGTTTTGTGCCAAATATACTGGAAATCAGTCAGGAAGATTTTTTGGTCATGTTCGAAGATGGGTCATCTCTGGTCAAAAACTAGGTCACACGGGCTTAAACTAGCAAAAGATTGTTAACACTGTAGTGCCAGCATTTTTTTATCCATTTATTCTGGTAATTTTTGAGGAAGGTTGTTTTGATGATTTTAAGGTCGAATTTGAAGATGGGTAATTTCCGATCAAAAACTAGGTCATAGGAGCAAAAAATAGAAAAAAAACTTGTTCAAAATCTAGTGGCTGTAGTTTTGATTCAAATATTCTGCAAATTTGTCAGGAAGGATGTTTTGGTGATTTCTCGGTCAAGTTCTAAGATGGATCATCTCCGGTCAAAAACAAGGTCGCAGGAGCTTAATATTAAAATCTTTTTAACACTTTAGTGGCTGCAGTTTTGATTCAAATATTTTTTGTTATTTGTCAGGCAGGTTGTTTTTTTATAATTTCTAGGTCAAGTTCGAAGATGGGTCATCTCCAGGTAAAAAACTAGGTCAGTTGAGCTGAGAATATAAAAAGATTTTAAACACTCTAGTGGCTGCATTTTTTTCCAAAAATTCTTGAAATTTGTCAGGAAGGTTGTTTTTATGATTTCTTTGTCAAGTTTGAAGATAGGTTATTTCCGATCCAAAACTAGGTCACAGGAGCTAAAAATACAAAAGCATGTTAACACTCTAGTGGCTGCAGTTTTGATCCAAATATTATGGAAATTTGTCAAGCATGTTGTTTTTTTGTTTTGTTTTTAGGTCAATTTTGAAGACGGATCATCTCCAGTCAAACATTAGGTCACAGTCGCTAAAAATATGAAAATCTTGTTTAGATTCTAGTGGCTGCAGTTTTGATTCAAATGT